GTATTCACCTCTGTCATCGTAAACTGATCCAATATTATTATATGTAGTTGCTAATGATGGGTGATATGGTGGTAAGGACTTCATGTCAATGTGTAGTGCTTTTTCATAATATTCTAATGCTTTATCGTATTCACCTTTTCTGTTGTAAATTAATCCAATATTATTATAAGTTGTTGGAATAACGGATTGTGGTAGTTGATTAGTTTGAATTGGTAGTGTGAAATATTGTTGAGCATGGTCGTATTTACCGATATACAGCATAAGTAGACCGAGAGTGTGCATATTGAAGGTGTCACCCAGTTCGATGCGAAAGTGTTCTCTCAACTGTTTTAGCTGTTCATCTTCTTGGTCAGTCATTGTCAAGCTTACTTTACAAATTCTGTTGTCTAAATTGTGAATTGATTCAATTCGAAATACACATGCAATAGTGAAGAGAATTTCGTCTTCTTCAGGGAAATTGCTTAAATGTTTTATATTACAAAATGGTTTTGTGCGTTCGCTATAGTCAGCAGTTATTTCGAAAAGAACAGATTGAATATCTGATCGATTTGGAAGGAACTTTAACGCTGCCTTTGGGTTGGTGCTAGTTGATAGAAAACTATTGAATGATAAAAGCCCTCCAATATTTTTTTTTATTTTTTCGAGATCATCTGCGCTCATAGATTGACCGCGATACACGGTCAATTGTGTTTGTTCAATGTTGGTATCGTTTGTTGGTAATGATTGAAGAAACTCTGAATGTAATTGTTTTATTTGACTATGAACATCTGTCAAGAAGAAACGATATTTAAATAGAATGTCAATGTCTTGGATTCGAAGTGCTTTATTCAATATTTCATATATAAAGCAATGTGTTGTGTACCACCATATTGCTTTGCTTGGACTATATGTCTTATCAAACGTATCAATGTGTTTTAAAACGCTGTCATTATCATGATATTGCAATCGACAGTGATCAATCATATTTGTTTTTGCATCATCTTCATGTCCCATTCCAATCAGAATTTCAGTTAACAATTGAAAGTACATAAATGAAGCTTCTTGTTGGTTTATTTCTTTTTCTTTTATGTGTGTAGAAATAATGTTCATAGATATGAATTGATGGGAAGTTGTAATAACTTCTTTACTTAATTGCTCACAAATATCGTTCATACTAGTATACACGCCACGTACTATTTCATGTTCCATTTTCCAGTGTTTATGTTTTTCAATATCAAAACAGTATATATAAACCCATTGAACTTGTGGCATATAGGGAACAGACGGTAAAAAGTGTTGGATAATTGAACCTGATACAACTACAAACACTTTCTCGTCTTTGACTGTGTCTATGTAATCATAACAGTCAATAGCATCCTCAAACATCTTTAAGCAATTGATAATAGCCCGTAATCGGGATATTGTTTGTACATTATCATCTGTTTTAAAGATATTAGCATCAACCCAAACGATTTGAAAGTTTTCTAAATTTTGTTGTTCAATTATATTTGTCCGACAAATTGAACTTTGCACACAATCTGTTGTGGTTTGTAAAACGGTTATATTGTTTAGCGTGTTTGAATCCATTATTGTACTTATTGAATATGTGTCTTATGTCTAAATTAACGTAAGTTCTAAATAAAGTAAAACACATAGTTAGTATCGGCATGTAAAAGTAGTATACTATGATATTTTTGAATAAATTTTGAACGAGAATAAGTAGAGAGCTGTGATTTTCAGTTTTTATAGAATAGACGCTTAAGTGACATTGTACGATAGGGACGACCAAGGCTGCTCGATTGCTATTGCAGATTTCAATGAAACTGCTTATATGTAATCCCAAGTGAGATGTGAAAACTCCAAAAATATAACCTTCGAAACCAGTTTCCTTGTAGAGATATGCAAGTTACAACAGATGCTCTATAGTGTGAAAAATGATAGTAACCAAATCATGACACACACATTCTCTTCACCCACACGCACGTAAGTCATTCACATACGTCACTGAGTGCAAGTGAGATGTATGTATCGTGTAGAGGAACCGAAAATAAAATATAAAAACAAGGATATTTATGATGACTAGGACAGTGAATAGAGTGCATTGTTTGTTTTATTCTGTTCTTCTATCGCACG